TTTACTCTATTCGGCCTGTATTGAGAATATATTGTTACAATAGCGTCCTAACTTTCGTTAATTTGTCGACCTTTTGAAATTTCAAAATCATCAAATTTTTGATACACCCTGTATATATAATCGTATTGTTTCTCGCGCAAGTTTGAAAATTCGCATGCAAAGCGAAGCCCGGCTTGGAAAATGCACGTTTCGCGCGAAGGAGAAGAAATTACTCTCAAACAGGGCTGAGTCTCCGATAACATTCGATGACATTCGTCACGCAACCTCCCTCTGAGGACTGAGGACTCGAGCCTAAAGATATTTCACATGAAAGTTGCATGGTTTCAAGCTTTCAAATGGGATCATACGAGTGTCTCAGTGTGAGTTTTATTTCATCCGATCGTTCTGCGTGTAAAAGTGAAACGATCGGAAGATGAACGCTCACCGAAGCATTTCACGTTACAACGTTTGTCCGAGCGAAAACAAAGGGATCTTTCAATGGGTTTTCGAAAAAAACGGATGCGGAGAAACTCGAGAATGACGATAGCGAGATTTTATTTCTCAGACTCTCCTCACACCACCCACCTATCCAGGTGTATGCAAGAGTTTTATTCCTTCTCTTCAGCCTTCTGATGCAATTATGTTAAATTGAAATATTTTCCCGCCATTTTGTGTTTTCGTAAGGTTGGCATTGAACCTTCTAAAACGCCATTCATTCATTATGATTCATTGGCGCGCATAACCTCAAAAATAACAGTTGATGCAATGACGAGAGAAGCTCTATATTCGACGCTGCACTCGATAAGAATTCCAGCGAGGAAAAGATGCTGCTAAAGCGTGCGCTTTCCGCTTGCTCGTTCTTGGGGAAAATATCGTGTCCCGCAACACGCGCAAATATTGCTTCCGTCGCTTTAACCCTTTAACGCCCGACTTTTTTATAAGTGTTTTGAAAATAAAATTTGAGTTTTTTTGAACTGAGACTATAAGTAGTGATAACCAAAAAAGATATCAGAATTTTACATCTATCGAAAAACTATCTTTCCAAGCAGAAACTACTCTCAGAAGTGAAAAATATGCCTGATCGGTGAAATTTTTTTTTTAGTTTTAATAATTTTATATCATACCTCTAATTTATATCATAATAATTTATTATCATACTTCTTAATAATTTTATATCATAATGGTTGGAAAAATTCCTCGAAACATAAAACTCATATTCAGAATTTGATTTTTATTTACCCGGAGTGGAATTGCATAAAACACCGAGAGATGCAGAGGGGAATTTTAAAGTTTTGAAAATTATTTTTGTCCTGCTTTGCTTCCCTTTCGAGCTGCACAATTGACAACGTCTTTTACTTAACAGGCATGTGCTTGTTGTAACACTTCCTGATGTACGAAAAACGAAAACTAACAATCGACTGAGCGGAAAATGTAAAGTAATATTGTACTTCTGAACGAATAAATTTGTATTTTTTTTTGTAAATATAACGGTAAAAGTGATAAACATGGACACATTCGGAGATGACTATCCAGATGGAAAAACCGTGAAACAATTACACGGGAAATCAATCGTTTACTTCTGAATAAATGAGTACATGAAGTTTCCGCTTTTCGTTTGTTGGTTTCGTTAGTTTGGTTTTTTTATCGTTCGTTTTTTGTTTATTGGTAAATATGACTTGGATCCTAAA